AGTATGTGGATGCTTTGGAGATTGTCAGGTTATGTCCCAGTTCCAGTGTGCTGTGACATTTATCAGTCCTGCACTTTTTTTAGAATTAAAAAAAAAAAAGGTTGGTAAGAGTTTTTCACTAATCTCTAGCTACACAGGGGAAGGAAGCAGAACTCCTAGGCTTTATATCTAGTTTAACATAAATCTGTTAAAGTGGGATTAAAAGTGGGACTGAAGTTTCTGATTTTGAAAATGATGCAAATGTTCTTAACATAGTAGGTATGCATTGATCTCTCCCTGTATTTTTAGGTAAATCAGTGATGCTGTATGCTGCAGAAACCATTCCCAAACTGAAAACAAGAACCCAAAAGATGGGAGGTAGCGATCAAAGTCTTCAGCAAGGAGAGGGAGGCAAGAAGGGTAAAGGGAAGAAAAAGAAATGAGCTGACATCTGGAATAATTGTTACATCCCATAGTTGTACTTAGGACAAATATGAATGGACACATTACTTGCTGCAACTTTGAAGTGAAAGATACAAGCAAGAAATAAACAGGTGAAACTGAATAGAACTGCCTGCTTTTCTTGGAACTGGAATGCATGTCGCTGCCTCGCATCTGTGTAACAATAAATCTGTCTTTACACACAACCTGCAAGTCTGAAGCTAGCACCCACTTTTAAAAGTGGAAGAGCATAAGCCAGTGGGGTGGGTGGGAGAATTATTCTTTCCAGAAGAAATATGCAGCTTTTGATAAATAAATAAATACTCTTATGCAGACTAGATATCCGAATACTGGTTGCCTTAGTAAACCATTTCTCTATGCTAGTGAAGTGATTGTCTTAATTTTGGAGAGTCTTTGTCACTAAAAGAAAAATGTAAATCAGTAAAGTTATTGCTCTGTGACCTTCCCTTGCTAATAATCTTTCACAACTGTCAAGTGTACTAATAAAGGTGACATGTTAATTTTAAAAAATGTGATTTTATAGAATACTTTTCCAAAAGTGTTAATTTTTCCTCCACAGCCTGTTGAAAAGAACTCGGTGACAAGTATTGTAAGGATAATATTGTAAAATTTTAAGATAATTTGAAAAAAATAGCTCCCTTTTGTGTCTTGTATAATATGGGATACTGTATTATCCTATTTTGGGTAGTTGTTTGAGAGCTTAGGAAATACAGCTTTATTTTCTACCTGTCAAATACTATTTCAGATGGCTGAGGCTTGCAATAACTTAAAATATTTATTTTTTTTATGTAGTCCACAGACAGGGACAGAAAGTTATTTGGAGAAGATGAGTTGGTCAGAGCAGCTGTCCAGTGGCAAGACTCCTTCGAAGTAATTAAGAAAAGTACTGTTCAAGTTAAATGAGGGATGGTTTAGTATAAGGAGACTGAAAAAGAAGCAGCAGAACCTGTTTTGCATTTAAAAACAAAAATCCTGCATGAGTTTTCCAGTCCTTACTGTATGAAAACAAAGTCAGTTGAATGCTTTCTCAGATGACAGCTAGAAGCAAGGTATCAGGTTATTTTTGATAATGTTTTCTGTGGCAATATTCTCTTCCAGGGTTTGTCTGGTTTGTCTATCAGGTGTGCTATTCTGTGGCATCACTTTTTTCCCTTTTTAAAGATAAACAGCATTCAAAATGTTTCTAGACATTTAATGAGTATTCTGAAGTAATGAAACTTTAGATGAAGTTCCTGATGATATCCCTGCTCAAGTTACTTGTGCTTGTAGTTTTGAGTTTTCTTATGTTCTCATATTTCTTGTTCCACTCAATTGCATCTTTTTCAAATAGATGGTGAGCTGCCACTGCCCCATGCACTACTGGTGCCTACTGGCATCGACGTCAACTGCATAGAGCCCTGGACTTGTGAATAGTTCAAAGTCAATTGTATTTCCTCTCTGTAATCCTTTGCAAGCGTGGTTCTTGTATTGCGTTGTTTAATGAAGGAGGAGGATGCGTTCTCGTTCTCACTGCAGTTGTACCAAATCCAAAAGCTGCCGTGACAGAGTTCCTTAGGCCGAGCGCCGTACCAGTGTGGGAGTAGCAGTATGTAGGCTCTCTAAAACAGAATGGCTTAGGAGGAGAAGTCCTGTGGTCCAAGGCTGTAGTTGACCACGGTCGTACAAATGTCTTCAGGTTTTTTTCTGCTGATACAACAGTTTACACAAGTTACCTTTGGAGTGTCTGGCCTTGAAAACACGCATTTTGAGAAGTTAATTAAATGGAATCTGTGTGAGTTGATGGAATGCCGTGGGGTAGGAACAGCAGGAGCAGGTGCTATCTGAAAGGTTTTTTTGTTACAGAAAACAACTGGACGTGGTCAGAGGTGGTTAGTTACATCCACTCTGTAGAGTTAGGGAAGTGCTACAGGTTAGTATATGAGGAAAAATATCAAGTGAGGTATGCGAGCAAGAGTAGAAGATACACCTGTGATCTAAAAGACCGTAACTGCCCACAGGCTGTGGGGCTCGAGTTATTCCTGGCTTTTCCTGAGTGCTGAGTAACTTTTCTGAAACTTCATTTAAAGTGAGAGCTCTCTGAAAATTAGTTGGTACAAGGTAACTCGGCTCCGTGATGTTAAGTGGAGGGGAGTGACTCCAGCCAAGTCATGATCATGTTATGCTGAAGTATTTTAAATCAGAGCTTTAGACCACAGACAGCTGAAAAATATGGAGGTTAAGTCTCATAGGATATCAGTTTACAGTGGCCAGAAATTAAATATCTTAAGAACTTGTCTGTGCTGTGGTATGCATGTGGAGAAGAAAGAATCTTAGTTGCATTGCTTACCAAAATTTCCCAATCAAAGAACCCAAAACAGTAAACCTATTTTAAAGGGTAAGGATCTTACAAAAAAGACTGAGAAGATTTCTGAAAAGAGTCACATTGAGCTCAAATATATAAAACTGTGATTTAATAAAATTAACAAATCTTCATGGTATTTTGGGTAAAGCTGACTCTTTTTAAGCAAATTACGCAGTGCTAGGACATCAGATGATTACTACCATTAGGGAGTTGAAGTCTGATTCCCCCAACCCCTGCCTGCTTATCCACCCATCTCTGAGCTCAGCATTTTGCTTTTTTTGATTTCTGTCTGGCTTTAGAGTAAGTACACTATGTGAGCGATATTTGTTCCTAAATTGGATATCAGAAAGTTAAACACAACTCCCCCTTTCCTGCCAGGGTTAAGCTTACAAACCAGACTTGCATTTCTTTATTTCCTGCTTTTTAATAAACTGGGTTCCTTAAAAGGATTAAAAACAAGCGGGTCAGGATGGTAAGTCAGGTTCGTCTGCAGGTCTTTCCCCCTTCTTCTGCACCCTTCCCCTCTCCCCTTCACCCCTTCGGTTCCCCTCAGGGAGCAGGGAAGATGGTTAGAGGCCCTTGCGGGACGGGGAGTGGAGACAAGGCTGCTGTGAAAACATAGAAGTACTGCAACTGTTGGTCTCAATGCTATCAATAAAAAAATATTTTTTTTGAGGGGAAAAACGGGCTGATAATGGATGTCTCCTTATTTCACCTGTCTCGCTTTTACAGTTTTCAGTGAAAATTCGCTTAAGTAGCATTGTTACTAAAAAGACGCTGTGGTTTCCTGTAGGTGGCAACATTAACAAAGACATGCATCGCTGAGTGGGAATTTACTCTGCATCTAAGATGTGAGGAATATGGATATTGAGATAGTGTCCCTCCAGAAGATACTAGTCTAGCTAATTAAAAATATATACTTGTTATTTTCCTATACTGTTTTTTGGGTACCTAGACAAAAATTAAACATTGGAAATGGACATGTGAGCTCAGAATCCTTATAACAATCCTTACAATGATGATTTCTGTGTCAGCACCGGATGGGAACATGGACACTGGGCCTTAAGCAGATCTGAAGAGGCAGGCAAACAACAAAGGGATGACTAAAAATGAAAATTCAGCACTGTTGTGAGGTAGATGCTTTATTATCGATCTATATTTTAGATGTTTGTTCTTTCAGATGTATGGAAGAGAGCATGTAGCTGCTGCAGCAGAAGCACAGGCACCATTATTCAGTTCTTAATGTAAAGAAAGTGAGTTTCAGAAGGTTCTTTTGAAATGTGTTTTAACTTGGGAAGTGACAATAATGTATGACCATATGTAGTTCTCCATCTTCGTCCATGAAGTAAATTTCTCAAAGACCAGGTCTGCAGAAAATAGCTGTTCTTAAAAAACTTGCCTGTGTGGATATCCTGTTCCTTGTGTGCGCTTAGTGGTTAGAGCCTGTCGTGGTTTAACCCCAGCCAGCCACTAAGCACCACGCAGCCGCTCGCTCACTCCCCCCCCGTGGGGGGGGGGGGGGGACTG